TTTAAAAATAACTTATTTCACTTAAGTGAACTTGAAAGAATCTTCACATAAACCCATTATAATAAATGTCATATTATAGCTACCTGTGCCCCTCAGCAGAAATATACAGAAATTGAATAAAGTTATCAAACACTAAATTCTAAACTAAATACAGATGAATCTTTAAAACTATAAGTTATTGATTTCCTCTTTTTTATTTTGTCCTTGATGAACAGACATCACAGCAGCTGGTTATTAGGTTGTTTTGGCTGCTATTTCTTTAAGAGCTGCCACTACTGAACATGACGCGGATCTGACACGCATTGTATTTTCTCTCAACTCTACCTTTTCGGACCCATTTCAGGTCGGACCCATTAGGTCTCTTCTAATGAGCTGACGAGTTGAATCGAGTGTGTCAGATGAGGGAGACAGTGCTAGGATGCTCCAGGACAGTTTTGAAAACCATTTCAGAGACATGTTCTTAATGTAACTCATATAGCCTATAACCAGGGCCGTCCTTAGGGGGGTGCAACTGGTGAGGTCGCACCGGGCCCCGCGTGGACTGATGGGACCCTCCCCCTGGAACGTGATCACGAACGAACCGAGGCGAAATTAGATGAAATTAAATGAAAATGAGACATTCGGACCAATCACCGCAGATTAGCGTCACGCAAAGGAGGGGTTTGGAAAAATGAATCGTTGAGCGAATCGTTTGGGAGTCGTTGAGCAAGTAAGGTAAAAATAAATACATATTATAAGACAATGAAATTGTTTTTTTTTTACCTTGCATGCATGTCAACCTGTTATTGGGGACTCCCAAAACCAAAATATGAATCTTTCATTACCCATAATAGGGGCACTTTAAGTGAAAGTTGTCCACCCCTAATGGCGCGTGGATACATTGTTTCCACATGACAGACATGCATTGTTCCAGATGTGACACAACTAGTCCATACTGTCACAGGTTAAGACAGAGTGAGCAAGGTGGCCAGGCATTAGAGACCGGACACATGTCCTTGTCAAGGCAGTCTGATGATAGAAGAGAGCAGGGACGCCAGCCATGCATGACAGCTGTGAGACAGCGAGAGACAGGGGCCAGAGACCTCCCCTCAGGTGCATATGCTGCCGTTTCACCCACAGATGTGCTAGTATAGTGAGTCATGACAGCCTGTGACAGTGGGGAAAGAGAGGATACTTCCATTTCCCAAAGCAACAGTCACTGCTAGAAACTAGCACCGGTTTGACAGCTTGTTCAGTGCATAGGCTGATGGACCGGTGACCTAACCTACTATGGTATGCATGAAATGTCAGTTATTAAGAACAAAACTAAAACCATCACCATTATTTAGTATTATTTTAGTTTATTTCCTGTTGTGCTTGCTGCAACCACAATCTAACAGTAGTAACATATATTTTCTTTGATATTGTGACACATTTGAGTAAAACCGATTATCAACCAGAAAAAAGGAATGTAGAGTAGGAGCTGTGTTCTATCCCTTGGTTGTTGATTGGATGGAAGCAGATCTGAATGCTAGTTTGCAGATGATTTTAAGAAAGAGTTGTATTTTAGGCGGACTAAATGTTTGGTGAAGTCTGGCATACATCACCAGAGCGAAATCTGTCATTGCAAGGAAAATGCATGGATGAATGTTTCACGTTTAGACATTTAGAAAATACATACATTTTTATTCCATGCTGATTTAGCCTACCTAGACTGACATACAGGTGCTACACAATCTATCAGAAGGATACCTATGCTACATCTGCTGTTTTTGAATGTGCATTTAAAGGGATAGTTCACTCAAAAATGACTTTTTGAAATCCGCTTAAAATTTACTCACTTTCAGGCCATTCAAAATGTAGATGTGTGTATATTACCAGCATATTGGCTGTTTATAAGAAGTTATAAAGCACCTTATTCTGCATGACCATATTCCACATCCCTTAATCCTACCCCATGCCTAAACTTAACAACTACCTTACTAACTATTAATAAGCAGCCAATTAGAAGTTTATTGGGGCAAAGATTGTATTTAATAGTCAGTTAACAGTGAGATTGGAAACTCACACAGGTTTGGAACAAGATGAGGGTGAGTGAATGATGACATAATCTTCATTTTTGGGTGAACTATATATCGGTAACTCTTTATTTTAAGGACCAGTTCTCACTATTGGTTGCTTATTAGCATGCATATTTTTAGCATATTGGCTGTTTATTTGTACTTATAAAGCACATATTAATGCCTTATTCTGCATGACCATATTTTAGATCCCTTAAACCTACCCCATACCTATACTTAACTACTTTTATTGAGGGAAAACTCTTAGTTAATAGTGAATGTGTTCCCTGATCTAAAGTGTTAGCGAACTATTCCCTTTAAGTCATGTGATGTAAACAGTAGATACAGTCAATTTGACTGGTTTAGCCTGAGGAAAAAAATAGTGGTTTTCATTATTTCTATTGGGAAAATAAAAGTCATTTCAATTAGCGTTAGGTATTTTTAGACAACAACAAAAAAAAAGATGCTTATTTTACTATTATTATTATTAGGCATATTAAATAAGCCAGACTTTTTCCCACGTCCAACCAAAAAAAAAAAAAGCTAAAAGAACACTCCAGTGGATCCAAGCAATTCATCTTCAAGATGATAAGGGATGCCTGTAATAACTTACTGTATCTAATTGTGTATGCCTGCAGCAGACTTTATTTTTACTCATTGAACAACCAGTAAAATAAATAAGCACGATAATACATTAATTCATGTGAACACCACAGACCTTGTGAAATATTATTACAATTTAAACCAACTCTTTTCTATTTTAATACATTTTAAAATGTAATTTATACCTGTGATGGCAAAGCTGAATTTTCAGCAGCCATTACTCCAGTCTTCAGTGTCACATGATTCTTCTTATTATTATTTCTTGTCATTATTCTCAATCAGACCCATTCAAAATGTTGCTTTGGTTCATGGTTTAGTTCAACCCGGTTTTCAAACAGAAATGTTGTTTTTCCCAGTTACAGTACCAACAATATTAATTAAAAAGTCATAAGACATGGAAGACTTGAACGATTTAGCTAAATTACCTTTACACGCTAATTAGTCATAAATTTTACTCCTGAAGTCTTATTATCATTCAAATTAAAATGGCATTTATCAACAACAGTAGTCATATTTATCTTACTGGAAACCTGTGTGACCCGATTTGGCAGGTATCACAGTAACCATGGTGAAGCAGTATGCAAAATCATTAACGGGTCATTAGAGGAGTCAATATCACTAATAAGGTTTTTAATAGTGAACAGCCACAATGCTTCTAATGCTTCATTAAATTAGACTGTTTGCTCTGGAACATTCAAACTGGGTTAATTAAGGCTGCTGCTATAACCGCTAAACACTCATTAAAAAAAAAAAACTTTAATTATGCCAGACCAAAGAAAATAAACAATTATCTGACAGAATTGTATTATTACTATTATTATTATATTGTTATATAATATTATATAATTTTGATTATTATTATTTTTTCACATTAACCCGGACATTACAGTATGAAAGCCTGTTTCTGCCATGGTATAAAAAAAATATAAAAAAGGACCCTTTTCCTTACAATTCTGAGATAAACAGTTAGTACCTTATTAAGTAGCAGTATCTATCTATCTATCTATCCATCCATCCATCCATCTCATGGCAGAAACAAGCTTCCTTAAAGGGACAGACCACCCAAAAACGAAACTACACAGTTTTGGTTTCCACTGGCTTTCACTGTATGGACACAAAATGCTCCACAGAAGAAATAAAGTCATACAGGTTATGAACATCATGAGGGTGAGTAAACGAGACAGAATTTTCATTTTTGGGTGGACCATGCCTTTAAGACTCAAATCATTTTTCCTCCACAGTTAGTATAGAAAATGCAAAAAAAAATTTAAACTAAAAGGTTTTCAAATGTTTGTCCCATAAACATCTTAAATGCATGGTCCCAATAAACAAAATGTAGCATGATTCCCGGCCCCGCACACATTACATCACAAATTAATGTCTATTAGTATTTAAAGGTCTCCTGAAATGCTTAGAAACACGCAGCGTTACTATGTGTTGACGTAATTTTAACTGAAACAGGAAGACAGGGCGGGACATATCAAGCAGCCCCGCCCCTTTTTAAAATAGCCCGTAGCGTTCGTTTATATCACAGCTTGGGCTAGAGCCATTCAGAGCCGTTGAGCTCCGTAAAGCCGCATTTAACAGGGTATGCCAGCCACAATCTCATCCATATTGCTATAAAATATAGCATTCTGTGTAGAATTCAAATAGCTCCGATACATTTTGTGGTCTGCGCCGACTCGCGCATGTGATCCGCTCCGTGCTTTCGTGTCTCTGGACCGGAGCAGTGTGTGTGGTGCAGTGGTTAGCGTGACACAGCGCGAAACAAGACTTTTTTTCCTCGATGGAAAGCATATTTACAATGTTTGAATCGTTCCCTGTCACCTATATAGTGCACCACGTGCCATTCACTGTACAGAAAATACTAATTCTGTGGACAAGTGACCGATTTCAGCCGCGGCTTCAGCGTCTATTTTATAGTGTAGGGGGCGGGCGCTTCGGATTCTAGAGAGCATTTGATTGGACAGAAAGTTTGATGTGAAGCTGAAGTACGATGTGACGTCAAAAAAATCGTTGAGCCGTTTTGGCGGAAGTGACGAACTGCAAGCTTTGAAAGCTTATATCTTCTAAATGCAAATTTTGTCACTGTTTTGGAGCACACTGCCTTATAGTTAACCTTAAGACTAACATATCGATACTAACACCCAAAAAACTTTAATTTTGATTTCATGGGGACTTTAAGCTTTCAATGACTATACAGGCAGTATAAGCCAGCTGCATTATATTATATACAATCGTGCTTTGTGTCCAACAAAGACAACATTGAATGGGCTAATTAACTCAGAAGATACACTGCATTTTTCCAGGAAACTGTAATGCTCAATATCATTAAGAGTCTAAAGACTTTGTTCTCACCTCTGTATCGGCGGCTTTACAGAGGATGTCAGATTGATAGTGTCCTTGGTGATCTCCACTTTGCGGACACTTCCAAAAAAGTCAGTGATGAGGACGCTCCCGGGATTCCTCTGGAACAGGTCAGTACGGTGACCCGGAGTGGACACACACTGACTCTGTGGGCACACCTTAAACTGAAACAAACACGCAACTATCAGTCAAATGAGACTGAGACACACAAAGAGATTAATTACGAGTTGCCAAGTTCTAAGAGCGCGTTCATTCCCAAATGGACTTGCAGTTTAATAGAATTGCAAGATGTCAGAAATGAATACAAAGAAAAAGAACAAAAATTACCATTTAAATAAAATCTGTTCCTGCACATTCAGCCATGGTGTGCAGGAAAGTGTCATTAATATGTGATCTTGTGAATTCTTACAAAAACAGACTCTAAAGATTCATGAGAATCAGCTTGCAGATGAAACATGGACATGAAAAAAGCAACCAGTAAAAGCTGTTGAAACCTCAAGGAGGATTTCAAAATAATTTTCATTTGAAAAATATGGAACAAATGTAATTAAAATGCTACCCTGTATACATTCCATTCTAAAGGATTAAACATTTGTTTGTCAATGTGTCCACATTCTGTGAGGTTTGGGCCATTACATAAACATTTAATACATCTAAATTTGGGATTGTTACTCTTAATCCACCCTAAGCTCTAAAATCATCCTTTTTACTATGACCTCAAGATGAAATATTTTAAGACCCAATCCTGTCCAGCTGGAATGAGGCGTGTGTCGCCATTAAATTGCATTCAACCATTCACAATTCATTTTTTCTCTTCCATAATATGACATATTTCACTGAATATTCTGAAACTGAATATTCAATGAGATTCAATAATGTCTGATTTTATCCACTGAGAAATGATTGGATTGTGAAAAGTGGACTTTCTGTATCAGAATGGAGCCAGACCTGAATGCGAGTTTACAGTTGATTGTGGAAAGAATGGAAATTTTGACCTGCTGGGAACCGAGATCATGACTGGGAAATGGAGACATTTGTTTTCCCTCTGGAATAGCATGCGCATATGAATAATGCACAATAAGACCAGTAATGTGGACTAAGATTTTTGATTTAACAGGAACATGTGCAGAGGCATATCAGTTTACAATAATGACTGCATAGTTTAGTCCGCATCACTGTAAACAAGCCAATATAAAACTATTTTAAAATGATTCCTTATCAGAATCATTTAATACAATTTACCAAAAACATCAAGAGGTCCTTTGAAAATGTTTGTTAAATGCATGTTAAAGCATTTGAGAATTAATGCAATAAATAAGATGATTAAATTAATAAACTGCAACTGCTAAATCAACAAAAAGACAATAAATTAGGATTAAAGACCAAGTAATTTAGTAAATTATGGACTATTTGGATGTTAATGAAAAGACCAGCACCATCCAGCAATTCCATTATGAACACCTAATTAAGCCTAATTAACATCAACAGGGAAATAATAATAATAATAATAATAAGTAATAAAAGTAAACAGTGATTTGCCCTTTACACTACTGTTCAAAAGTTTGGGGTTGGCAAGATTTTTAAATGTTTTGAAAGAGGTCTCTTATGGTCATCAAGGCATTTATTTCATCAAAAATATAGTAAAAACAGTAATATTGTGAAATATTATTACAATTTAAAATATTTTTTATAACTGTTAATATGATATAAAATACAGTGGGGGAAATATTTATTTGATCCCCTGCTGATTTTGTAAGTTTGCCCACTTGCAAAGAAATGAAGGGTCTGTCATTTTTATGGTAGGTTTATTTTAATGGATAGAGACAGAATACCAACCAAACAAATCCAGAAAAAAACACATTATATAAAGGTATACAGACCCATGTGCCCATGTGGAACACAGATTAGTCCTGCCACTTTAAGACGTTACTCCTAACGTCAGCTCGTTAGGTGTATAAGACACCTGTCCACACAATCTGTATTTTCCATTCCAACCTCTCCATAACCATGGGCAAGACCAAAGAGCTGTCAAAGAATGCCAGAGACAAGATTGTAGATCTGCACAAAGCTTGAATGGGCTACAAGACCATAAGCAAGAAGCTTGGTGAGAAGGAGACAACTGTTGGTGCGATTATTCGGAAATGGAAGAAATACAAAACAACCATCAATTGGCCTTGATCTGGAGCTCCATGCAAGATCTCGCCTCATGGGGTAAGGATGATCATGAGAAAGGTGTGGGATCAGCCCAGAACTACACGGGAGGAGCTTGTTAATGATCTTAAAGCAGTTGGGACCACAGTCACCAAGCAAAACATTGGTAACACACTACTACTGGACTGAAATTCTGCAGCGACCGCAAGGTCCCCCTGCTCAAGAAGGCACATGTACAGGCCCGTTTAAAGTTTGCCAATGAACATCTAAATGATTCAGAGAAGGCTTGGGAGAAAGTGCTGTGGTCAGATGAGACCAAAATTTAGCTCTTTGGCATTAACTCGATTCGCTGTGTTTGGATGGAGAGAAATGCTGACTATGACTCCAAGAACATCCCTACAGTCAAGCACGGAGGTGGAAATATTATGCTTTGGGGCTGTTTTTCTGCTAAGGGTACAGGACGACTTCACTGCATTGAGGGGCAAATGGACGGGGCCATGTACTGTAAAATCTTGGACGAGAACCTCCTTCCCTCAGCCAGAACACTGAAGATGGGTCATGGATAAGTCTTCAAGGATTACAATGACCCAAAACATGCCGCCAAGGCAACAAAGGAGTGGCTCAAGAAGAAGCACATTAAAGGGTTAGTTCACCTAAAAATGAAAATTAGGCTGCGTTTTACTCACCCCCGATGCATACTAGGTGTATATGACTTTCTTCTTTCAGACGAATCCAGTCGGAGTTATATTAACAATTGTCTTTGATCTTTCAAGCTCTATCGTTGCACTCAGCGGGTGTTGCATTGCTTCTGTCCAAAAGACGTGAAATAAAAAGCACCCTTCCATAAAAAAAAGTGTCTCACATGGCTCCGGGGGGTGAACAAAGGCCTCCTGTAGCGAATCGATGCGTTTTTGTAAGAAAAATATCCATATTCAAAACTTAATAATCACTTGAATCTAGCTTGCGCTCACTGTTGTAAACGGAAGCAGTTCCGGGGGAATTACGTATGAGTTCAGCTTTGCGCATGCGCTGCTCAGAAGTGACGCACGCAGAGAGATCGAAACAAAACAACGGTCACTAATTAGAAGTACAAAACGAGGATTTGTAAAGAAGAATGTCGGAGGATTTTGATATAAGCCAAGAGGAGACTTGTTTTCCTTCGCTAAAGGAAACTTTGCTTCTTTTGATCCTGTAAACAAACGTTGGTTTTCACGAGACTCACCGGGTAGAGGAAGCTGAAACTTCGAGTTGCCAAACGACAGCCAAGAAACCTTAAGGATTTAGAGAGGATCTGTAAAGAGGAGTGTATCAAAATCCCTCCTGAGATGTGTGCAAACCTGGTGTCCAACAACAAAAAACGTCTTACCTCTAGTACTACACTCTTAAAAATAAAGGTGCTTCAAAAGGTTCTTCAAGCGATGCTATAGAAGAACCATTTTTGGTTCCACAAAGAACCATTCAGTCAAAGGTTCTTTAAAGAACCATATCTTTCTTACCTTTTTGTAATCTGAAGAACCTTCTTTCGCCACAAAGAACCTTTTGTGAAACAGAAAGGTTCTTCAGATGTTAAAGGTTCTTTTAGAAAAAAAGGTTCTTCTATGGCATCGTGAAGCACCTTTATTTTTAAGAGTGTATGTCATGTTTTGCTTGGGGATCAAATACTTATTTCACTCACTGAAATGCAAATCAATTTCTAACCTTTATATAATGTGTTTTTTTCTGGATTTTTTGGTCGGTATTCTGTCTCTATACATTAAAATAAACCTACCATAAAAATTACAGCCCTTCATTTCTTTGTAAGTGGGCAAACTTACAAAATCAGATAAATATTTTCCCCACTGTACAGTTTATTTCTGTGATGGCAAAGCTGAAGCAGCCATGACTGATTACTGATGAATGTTCAGAAATCATTCTAATAATTATTCTACATAAAAAAAAAACATTTCTTCTTATTATTATTATCACTGTTGAAAACAGTTTTGCTGCATAATATTTTTGGAAATCATGACATTTTTCAGGATAGAGGGAATTCAAAATGATATCTATTTGAAATAGACATTTTTGCAACAATGTCAAAGTCTTTACGGTCACGTTTAAAAAAAGAAAAAAGAAAAAAAAAATCTTACTAACCCCAAACTTTTGAACAGTAATATATTTATGGCTGGAATGACAACAAACCAACCTTAACATGACTTCTAAACAACATTTAGTGAACATCCTGTTCAGATGCAAGTTTTAAGAGCATACATGATGCCATTTCAGAATTAAAATAAATGGACATTTGGCGATAGAAGAGCATTATTTTTTAATTTATAACTCCCAGTGCACAGTGAAAGCCAGAAAGACATTCCGCAATCTTTCTGATGACAGTGAAAGAGAGATCATTCATGCGAGACATCATTCATGAGTTCAAGTGGCCCTTTTCTATCAACATTAAAACCTCTCTCTTTCTCCCACAGGAAATCAATAATATCGTTGCTAATCCAGTAGAATGGAGAGAGAGCGAGAGAAGAGCAAGGGGAACAAAAAAGCGCCAGAAAAGAGGCTGTTGTTGGACCTGTTTGATCTAGGAAGCACTGTGCCAAGCAGAGAGGATGTGGAGGGCAGGAGAGATCAAAATGGATTGTGGGAGTTGGTGGGACTCCAACCACTCAGATGAATGGAAAAGAAACTAAGGCTCACCCAGGCCTTCAGAGAAAAGGTCTCCCTCCTGACTGTTTCAAAGCTGTCTGACCTAAAGCTGTATTAGCCACTCTGTTTAAAGTGACGTGCTAAGAGACCTGTGGTCCACTAAGGCTGTTCTTTTCATCTGAGGCAACAGAACGTCTTTATGACGGACGCTTTTTAAGTTCAATTCGTACTAGTGGATAAGGGAAATGCTCCTATGGGACCTTGCATTCTCCATATCATTAGGCTAGAATTATAAACAACCACCAAACAAACAAACACACACACACACACACACTTACCAAATCGTTCATGTTGGCCTGGCTAGCAGGGTGGACTTCCTCCAGGAACTCCAGTAAGTAGAAGGTGTACTTGTCCATCAAATGGACCCCTATTGCCAAGTCTGGCTGATGCTGTAGGGACAAAATAATACAGGTGAACCAATTCCAATATTATATACTTCCCTAATCATTTAAAATCTGTATTAACTATAAATGTTCAGGGCTTTCCAGGGAATCATGGTTTACCGACTGTCTAGTCTAGTTTAGTGTATTATAGCCTGTTTACACCAAGTCCAATGTGGCTAAATTAAACAAAAAATTAACAATCCATTTTTTTGCACTAAAAACTATTAACAGTTGTTTTGGTACAGTTTCTGTCTTTTGACAAAAACATCCTTTAAATGTATCCCATATTTTGTCATATTTTATTAATCGCACTGTTATATTTATTAATTGTATCTTGTCAAATTTGATTATTTTTTACTTATTTTACCAAATTTCGAAACATTTAAAAAATGTCTACATTTATTAAAGTATAAATATATCCTTGAAAAAAAAAAACAGTATGTTTTAAATACAATTATTGTCATGATACTGTACATATGTTTCTGCCTTATCTTTATTATAGTAAAGAAAGATAGTAACAAACCCTTCAGAATAATTTTTCATCAATAATTTCATTAACAAGATTAACAATGCTCACATAGCTGGTCTGATGAAACATTTTAGATACAACTCAGTTCAAAACTTAGAGGTTGGTTAAGATTTTTTTTTCTTTTTATGTTTTTGAAGGACTGCATTTATCTGATCAAAAATACAGTGAAAACTTTCATATTGGGAGCTATTACTACAATTTGAAATAACTATTCTAATTCATTCAGAAATCAGAAATCATTCTAATCCTAATTCTAATATGCTGATTTGGTGATCAAGAAACAGTTATTATTGTCAATGTTGAAAATGGTTAACGAATGGGACGAGACCTGGTTGAGCTGCACTAGAGAAGGCAACAAGTGTTATTATCACTATGTCGGAGACACGCTAGCTTTCCCAAGGTAGACGAACTTAGAGTTGTTACAATAATCCGGGTTTAAATCACGCTCAAATTTATTTGATTTTGACGCAATATTTACACCGAAGCTCGCAGGTGTAAATGGTAAGGGGCATGACATTTCCCGATACACACTGGCCCAGCTAACCAATCACAGCACATTTCGTATTTCAGAAGGCGGGACTTCATTTGATACAGGAACTATTGGAGCCGTTCATGCCAGACTGGGGAGAGAGGTGTTGTAATAATGTAAAATATGTGAAAAATAATGTGTTTTTCGAACAACCTAGTCTGAGAGCCTGTTCTAGTACACCCTCTTGAAACAAAATCAAGACTTTGTAAAAGAGCATAATAGGACCCCTTTAAAAAATCTGATATATCTTTCTGTAACGATCCATAAGCCATATATTAAACTGCTTTGCATTTTCTTTTCAATTAAGCTCCAAAAATCTTGTTGTCTATGATTTTCATGTCAATGATTTTTCAAAGGTTCTGCAGAATTGCAATAATATCCAACAGCTGCAACTAATGTTAACTGTCAGATATGCACAAGATCAAGATCAGAAAGTTTAACTCACTGAGAGCGAGTCCTCTCCCACTTGGCTGCTGGCCAGGGCCATGAGGTTGGGCGAGTAAAACCTCTCATACATGGAGGCCCCCTGGCACGTGTCTATGATGAACAACAACTCGTTGTACCTGCAAAGAAGGGAAGCCGTTTTAGAGCCGGTTGATTCTTGTCCGATTCAAATCACTAATGTTGCAATCTACTCAACTCAACTCACTCAACTCTATTTATAAAGTACTTTCAACACCACGACTGGAACCAAAGTGCTGTACAGAGAAAGATAAGGGGGGGAAAAAAATAAGAATAATATGAAAACAAATGAAAAATAATAATAGTAAAATAAAATAAAATAAAATAATAAAAATACATAAATAATAATAGTAACAACAAATATCATACACAGCTAGAAAACAAACGAGTTTTAAGCGAACTCTGAAAAACACCCAAAGTTGGAGAAGTTCTAATAGACAGAGGAAGGGCATTCCAGAGCCTAGGAGCTGCCACAGAGAAAGCACAATCCCCTCTACATTTTAGACGAGATCGCGGAAACATTAGGAGTAGTTGTTCATTTGAGTGCAGAGATCTGCTGGATTGACAGACACTAATTAAATCAGTAACATAGTCAGGTGATAGACCAAGCACAGCCTTATAAACATACAGCAACGATTTGAAATGAATTCTGTATCGTACAGGTAACCAATGCAGTTTGATTAACACAGGAGTAATATGCTCTCTCCCCTTTGTACATGTTAAAAGTCTGGCAGCTGAGTTCTGGACAAGCTGCAAACGAGAGAGAGAGAGCTGCTTCAAACCCAGATACAACACATTACAATAGTCCAAACGAGATGACACAAAAGCAAAAACAACCTTCTCTATATCTTCAAAAGATAGGATGGACTTCAGCTTAGATATTGACCTTAGATGGAAAAAGCAATTTTTAACAACAGCATTAATTTGTCGGTCAAATTTGAGCTCAGAGTCAAAGATGACACCAAGGTGTTTTACACAGGACAGTTTCTTCCCAAGAAACTGCCCCAGGCAGTCATAGATATCATTAACATAACCCTTATTACCAAATAAAATCATATCTGTCTTATCTTCATTCAACTGAAGAAAATTATTTGCCAACCAGCACTTAACCTCTGTCAGACATTGATGTAGAGACTGCAAAGCACATTTATGGTCCTGTTTCAATGGTAAGTAAATTTGTGAATCATCCGCATACAAGTGATAATGAATCCCAAAGCTACTGATTACCTTTGAATACTTCGTGCATTACTTACCTCCTGTGTTCCTCCTAGTGTCTCCCCGTCTCCAAGTGTCTCCTGCATCTCCTAGTTCCCGGATCGCTGAGGTGTGTGCTTCCCCCGGATACCTTCCAGCCTCACTCAAGCCAAAGACTTGGATCACTCCACTCTCCATATCCTCTGCACTCTCTACACGGACCTTTCCCTCTCCCTCACTTCCTCCGGACTACACCAGTACTCACTGTGACCAACAATAAACACTTGTATATAAACTAACCTGTTGTGTCAAGCCTCTTCCGTAACAGGCAACATATACAGAGAAAATAAAATTGGTCCCAGAATAGAGCCCTGAGGATCTACTATCACTTGTAATTAAAGCTGGTCATCAAGTAATAAGAGCTAGATCTGACCTGCAGTACAGGGCTCAAGGCTGTCTGAGCCACGCTCACAATACAACCAACACAGCACTCTCTGCAAGCCGTTGCCATGGTTACCAAGAACCTGGCATCCATTAATGCTCCATTCACAAAATAAAATATATAATAAAAATTAGAAACCACTTCTGGCCATCTCTGACGAGTGAGAGAAAGAGAATGCGAAGGCTTGGAATCGCATGAACCTGAGATGTAATGGGGGAGCAATGAAGCACAAAAGGGGTTTCAGTAATTTATTGGATCAAGCCTGCAATTACCACATTGACAGGCACAAAACATCCAATGCTGTAGTGCTCTACAGGAAGAGAGGAAGCTCTCATTGCACCTCACACTAGCCTCCCACAATATTTACACTGCGCTGGAACCTAAACAGCCTATTAGAGCATTTATAACACACAATTAATACTTTAGGCAGCTGCAGCATGGCTTCAGCTATGTACATCAATACTGTGGCCAAGAGCCACACAATGAAGGCTAGACTGCATGTTTTATGTTCGATGTCATTTAATGTGTGTTTTGGAATTTGTTTTGGTCAATTTCTGCAATTTGCTCTCAAAAGCAGCAATTACACAATTATTAAGCTGTATGAATACATTTAATGATATGACTGGAAGTGTGACGTTGCTTTTATTCGGCAGTTGAATAAGCATTCAATTAATGTTTCTATTGAGAAACTTTTTAGAGCTTCGTTTACATTTTTAGATGCAATGTTGTTAAGTACTTTCTTTATTTTCCTCCACCAATGAAAACAGTTTCAAATGAAACCAAGCCGCTACTAAACAGTTGAGTGAATGCTTTAATGACTTACTCATAAAGGTTGGATTGAACATGCAGAGTTTTATAGAAAAAGACAAGTTTGTATCCCAGGTTTGTGGGCAAATCAATTAAATCAATGATTCATTGACTAATAAAGACTCATAAATCTGTTACTATTATCAGGGGCGAACTTAACCTATAAGCGAGGTAAGCGGACGCTTAGGGGCCCCATCTGATATTGGCAAAATATAATTGGCAAACGATCCATTATGTATTTGTGTTCTGAAGAGCATCAAATGTTCACTCAGTTTTTGACAAGTGCTGAGTTCTGCCAGCTCGTGAATCCTCTCATTATAACAACGTGTAGATACGATGTAAATATAAGATTCATTGTGCAGTGCAGACAGCTTCATTGATTAACGGAACGTTGTGAGGTTGTGATGAACTGAAGTGAAGGACAGCTTTTAGTGATTATAGAGGGAGCGCTCTTTGCGCACTTTCTAGGCTGCATAATCCTGTCTGACCTTCTCAGAACAGATTAACAGATTAACCTTAGAGAAGAAAGTATCTTGATGTTTCAAAATGACTCGCTTGGGTGCTTTTCCTATGCGCACTGACGCAAACTGCTGTGCACTCAAATACAAATGCACACATGCAATGACTGGAGATTTTCACTTAATAATAGATTACATTTTCGAATGGTTTCACAGCAAACCCTACCGTACGCCTTAAGAACACTTGGAATACGGAACGAGTTGCATGGGATAATTTTATGACATTTGAATCCTTTTTGTAAAAAGATTGAAGAAGCTTACAATTAATTAAATGGACAAGTGCAAGCATTTCTTTAATAATGTCTTCTTTTGTGATCCGAAAAAAATAAGGTAGCCTAATAATTATTAACTTAAGTTGTGAAGGGGTAAATAAACAATAAACTATGAGAGAGAGAGAGCAGAATAAGGGTTAGGCATGAAAGAGCACATATTTATTATGTTAGGGGCCCATACCTTAAATTTGCTTAGGGCCCCCAAATCACTAAGTCCATCGTAATGATATTGTATGACTGAGAGTATGTCACTATGTCAGTCTGCACAAGCGCAAACAAGTGAAGTGATAACGAAAAGTCTCAATGCTCTTGGACTGTTATATCAGAACTCTTAGAATACTGCTTAGCCCATTACATTTGAGAACCAGAACTAACAATTGTATAAAGAAGTTTTTTAGAATTTTCTGAATAAAATGTGAGTAGTGCTTGCTTGTCAATGGTTGTCGGTTTTAATTTGTTCAACTGTCCTACTATTAGGACAAATGGAACTAGATTTTATTCACATTTTTATGCAAATCATCTTACAGAATACTCGTTATGTTAGAAGTCTCCCTGAAACAACCCAAGGTTAAGTGGCTCGGTCAAGCGCATAGAAGTGATATCCATGGATACAGAGTGGGATTCAAACCTATAACAATTCATTTAACAGAACAGATCTTTCACAACAAGATTGAGATTGTGTGTGTTAAATATTATTAATTAATATAATTGAGTATATTTATTATTGATTAAATCATGTCAAAAATGTTAAGAGTTACTACGTGTTCACTGCAGATCTTTCTATAATTACCTCCTCTTTTGCCACATCTGCTCAAAGGCATCAGCTAGCTCCATGTTGCTGATCTCCTCAGAGTCCTGGAACTTCAGGAAGCCGTTTCCGCCGTGACCTGTGAAAATGGAGACCCGCAGATTCAGAAAAAAACAAGAAATGAAAAAGCCAGTAATGAGGCCGTTACCAGTCTGACCTGTCAGGTAGATGAGAATGTTGCTGCGGTCATCGGAAAGCAGACGTTTGGATCGAGGGGTGCTGGGGGGGAGACGCCCTGTCAGGACTCGCAGGAAATTCTCCACTGTGACCTGCAAAACAAAAAGAAATGCTTTTAAAAGAAGACCTGCCACAAAAAGCAAGTGAAAAGTGCAGAGACAGAGTCTAGGTTTGGGTCTCAAAACTCACAAGGGCCCTATTTTAACGATCTAAGTGCAAGGCGCAGATGCACTTAGGTCATGTACGAATCCACTTTTGCTAGTTTAGCACGACGGGAAAACCGGTCAGCGCGCCCGGCGCATGGTCTAAAAGGGTTGTCCCTATTCTCTTAATGAGTAATGGGTGTGTTTTGGGCACAACATGCAATAAACCAATCAGAGTCTCATCTCCCATTCCTTGTAAGAGCCAGTTGCACTTGCGGCATGGTGGATCCGCTATTTACATGGCGGAATTTGCAAGCGCAAAGAATGAACAGAGAGGAATCGGAGCTGCTCATGCGCAAGCAAATAGGTAGCCTAATTCTGATACATCCAATGACTATCCATTATGACATGTAGGCATTTTTATATTTATGTAGCCTACACAATAATAATCTTTTACATTGTAATCCTTTAATTTTTCATATTTAGCATGTTTGTGTGCTGCGGCGCGTCCCTGTGTGTGTAATAAGCAGAGTGTACGAGTATTGTTGACCTGCCAATAGGCAGATATTACTAACGCGCTCTTTAAATAACAAAAAAAAAAAAATGCGCCATTGACTTTAGACCAGGTTTTAGTTGGTCAATAGCGCAGTCTATTTCAGTTGCCTCAAAATAGCAACGCGCCAACAATGCGCCTGAACACACCTCATTTTCAGAGCACACCCATGTGTGCACACAAATGGGCGCAAATGCATTTGCTATTAAAACAATGTGGCACTGGACGTGAAAATGATAAATACGTCGGGCTGAAACTAGCAAAAAACGCTAGCATCGCATTGCGCCGGGTGTATGATAGGGCCCATAGTGACAGTCCTTAAAAGTCAGTAAAGTAACTGAATCGTTCACTTAACAGGTTTGTTTAAAAAAAAAGAAAAAAGCCAATCATCACATCACTACTGTATGCTACTCAGAGACAAGCAACAGTCGATTCTTCTATGACTTTTTTTTTTTAAATATTATAATTGAGTTTTTAAAAATTATTGTTATGAAACAACTAGCAGAACTGATGACAAGCCTTACTAGTATCCAATATTAGAGATATTTGTTTAAAACCAAGAGCAGCTTCACCTCATATCCACGGTAATCCACCTCCACGTCATCTCCATACACGTTAAGCTCCATGTTCTTATGACTGAACACAGTGGCTGGTTTGGGGTTTCTATAGTTACAGGCCATATCATCGGCTAGCATCAGCACAATGTGACTGGGAAAGCAGAGCAAACACATCTAATCAGAGCAGACAGGAAGACTTTTACTGCGGCTAGAAACACAAATATCACTGCCTCATCATGACAAAAGAGCACACATGCAACTATCTCTAGAGAACACAAGTAATGGAAAAACAGTGGGTAAATAATGTGTCACTGTGTAATGAGGATGTCAGTAGGGAAAATAGTTGATGTACAATAGATTGGTCCAATTATATTGTGGTTCAACAAGCCACTGTTTGTGTCTAGAGAAAATGCCATAGAGCATTATTGAAGTAAATGAGAAAGTTTACCTGTCTGGAATGCCCAGTCTCTTTACACTTCTGTATACTGACAGTGTGTTTGCCACATGCCGATAATTAAACCAGAATCTAGATGTGCAGACCTAGACATAAACATGATTATAAGACTCCAAAAATCATGAAAAAGCAGCAATTAAGAAAGAATGTTGGCAAGTTGTTATTCTAAATACATAAATATAAATATACATAAAATCATATTATACCTCTAAATTAGCTTTTTTCCTTTTCTATTATTGCCATTATTATATTATATTGCTATTTTAATATATCTTTATGTATCCTCAATTACATTAATGCTAACTGGCAATAAATACCTGTGTCCGCTTTAACCAATATTTTTACAGAAACTACAACAGCAGCCTAAAACAATGGTTAAACAGCATTAACCAACAGTCTGTGATGTCTTGTTGTTTCGCCCATTTAGATTCAATGTAATTTTATTTTACTTTTAGTTTTAGTCATTTTACTTGAACATTTTAAGTTTGGTTTTTCATCTAATATGAACATTTTATTCGGCTTCATTTTAATTATCAAAAACTATTCTTAATTTAGTTTTAGTTAACAATAACACTACTGACTATAATAGAGTGGTTCTTAAACAGGGGGTCAGGGCCCACTAGGGGGCCTCAGAAAACCTCTAAGGAGGCCTCAAGATGACTTCAATTTATTTTAAATAAGACAAATAAGATAATTAAAAAAAAAACCAAGGTAAGGCATTAAAACAGTTTAAAAAACAAGCTATTTCTTATTTTAATCCACCCCCTTTATCCTTTGAAGAAGACTGTACCACTGTTTAAAAAAATTTGATTTTAAAAGTGTGATTTCTAAATCCAGAAATGTCATCATGTAAATTAATAAATTCATGTAACTCCATGGGAAATTTTATGAATATACTTTTTACTAGTTATGCCAAGATCTAAAATATTTTAGCAAGCAGAAATTGTGAATAAAAAATCCTTAAAACAGGGCTGTGCAATTAATTGCATGCGATTGTCATGCGCATCTCGTCAGTAAAGTCGGTTCCGTGATTAGTAGTAAATAGCCATCACCTGCTTTCAGATGGAGCAGCGTTTAATACACAGAGCCGTAGTTCACTGACAAGCTAGGCAATATCGCGTTCATAATCAAATGCGATTCATCTGCGATTATGAACGCGATATTGCCTAATTGTCAGAGAACTACGGCTCTGTGTAGTAAATGCTGCTCCATCTGAAAGCAGGTGATGGAGATTTACTACTAATCACGGAACCGGCTTTACTGATGAGATGTGCATGACAATCGCATGCGATTAATTGCACAGCCCTACCTTAAAATAAATGTTCCTTATCTTAAATCACAAACAACTTGGATGAGGTATTTGAATATTAATGTCTTTGTCACAGGATAAATCAAGTTTACCATATTGAGAAACATACAGTAAAATTCAAATAGTCTTTTTATATTTCGAATAATTATGCCAGATTGAATATTCGACTATTTGTGCACAACCCTAGTTTATTCAAACTTACCAGGACTGCCCAGTTGTTGGTATGACCACTGCTAAAAAACTGTCCAGCTTTGTTCTAAAAAATAAATAAATAATGCATTACTAATTTAATTAAACTCTCAATAGTACAAAATGTGAAAATTCTCTTTTTTAGGTAAATCCAAGGGTAAAAGAAATGTAAACTGAGACTATACATAGAGTCTTTGCCCATTTTAGCCACTGTATAAAAGCTTATGAAAGACACTTAAATTATAGAAGTAATATGATGGCAAAGTGCTAACAGCAAAAATTGCCTCCACATGTGTTGAATGAATGCTGGCTGTATGCACTTAATAGAGAAAAATTACAAGGGGCATGAAATGATTGCTTTGAAATGCATTTGCAGGAGGTCATGTGACATTAAACATCATGCACAGGTTTTGAACTGGTGAAGCTAGTTAGACAAAGAACCCAGATATTCATAAATATCTTGTGTATATTTTGTGTTGTGAAAAAATATTTGATTTACCCTATATGATATATTCTAAGACAGTGCTTTAAAAGCTCAGGGGTACTTTGAAAGACAAACGCCTTCTACAGTAATAAAATTAGCAAATTGGTAAAATAACCAACTGAATGATAATTCAAATACAAATTAATGTGTTCATCAGTAGTTGATGCAATGTTGAAACACTTCTTAAACCTGAAATTATTTTTGCAAATCCAGTGGTCAACTAATGACTGACTAATGACTGATCTATGTGTGAATATCCACAAAACTGGAAGACTTTCTGAGTGTATATAAGCAGTAGGCTATTTTAGAAAGGACCATTTAAAAGATGACAAATAGTAATTAGGGAGAACCAATAAATTATGAATAAATTATTGCTATTGTGTGATGTAATGTAATATGTAATCATGTAATCCATAAAAAGGTAACTGTAGTCTGATTATGAGTATTTTAAAATGTAAATTAATCTAATTACAAGTACTTCATTTTTGGAATCTGAATATGTAATCCAGATTACATGAGTCAGTTACTAACCAGCTCTCTCTCTCTCTCTCTCTCTCTCTCTCTCTCTCTATATATATATACATATATATCTGTGTGTGTGTGTGTGTAATTATACATATATAGTTGCAACTAAAGAACATTTACAATATATTAACTTCATAATGTAATATCAAATAACACACTAAAGTTAAAATTATAATCAAGTACCTAACATGTGCTTCTGGTGTTTTTTATACACTTCTTTTTTCTTTCTTTTTTTTACACAAGGAAAGCACATTAAAAGAGTGTGTCACAAAAAGATGTTAGATTTAAAATGATGCCATTCTCTGAAGAAAAATTAACATTTGACATATTTTATATTGTTTGACAGTTATATTGTGAATATATTGCCATTTTGTTGACATTTATGCCTATGTTGTAAAACTGATGTGCTTGTGTGGATGTTGAAACATATCAAATATGATGTAAGATGACAAGATGATGAAAAGGCATTTTGTCTCGCACAGAGTGAATAATAATAACAATAATAAGATACTTTACACTTGCTCAATTATTAAAAAAGCTTCACAAATGTGCCAGTAAGATTACATGTTTGTGCTTTGTTGGCATCTGAACAGAAAACTGTAAGTCAAGATAATGAGCAACTGATTAAACAAAGCTAATGTCTACAGAAATGTGATGTTTAGAACAAACTGGCCATCATAATGTAACACACAGGTTGCCTAACTAGACAGTACTGTATTTTTGGGCATTACAGGTGTTAGCGTATGTATGTATGTATGTATCTATCTATCTATCTATCTATCTATCTATCTATCTATACTGTAATACAGCAATAAAACGATAATACATAAGAATATTACTATGACAGTCTAAAAAAAACTAGGAATGATTTATATATTCAGTGTATATATATATATATATATCTCATCTTAGTTCTTACATGTCATCTCTCTCTCTCTCTTTGGCTGATGATAAACGGGGCAACTTTTTGAGCAATTGCATGTATGTGTGTGCTTATATATAACAAATCTGAATTAACACAGCAAGAAAATATAAAATTAAACACATAAAATAAAAGAAACCTTTATGCTGAGCTGAGAATATTACTGCTGAAAGCTTCACTGTCCATTCAATGAATCACAGAAACGCTTTACAACAGCTATGAATAAAGACACTTACCTCAAGATAATTACTGTATGCATATGGCATGAAAACAAGCAAATGAATAAATGCACATGTTGTCAGTAAACTGTAATAACCCATTTTGGTTCGTCACCGGTTTAGTGACAGGCTAGATTTGCATCTGCAACCAGGAAGCGTTTTACTTCCGGTATGATTAAAAGTCCCATTTTCCGGAATAAAAGTCATACCTCTGCTCACATGTTTAGATGTAGCAAAGAAAACTGAGGACATGAATATATGATTATGCATTACATATTATCAATCATTTTTGTCTCAGATCCCATAAATTTAAGCAATAACCCGTGGTCCCGTATACTGTAAGCAGAATTAGGCTATTATCACATTTTAATAGGGAACAAGCATTAAGCAAAAATTAAGCATTGAAATTTTTTTATAATGCTTATTCAAATTCAAAATTGCTCTGTATTTATACTATTTCCCCCTACCCACAAATAAGCCAGCTCAATATCATGAGTACTCCAACAAGCATTATGCACCAGATTCATCTGAAAATTGTTTGTTTATACCTAAGACTTCATTCTTTTTTTCAGTCACTTCAGACAGCAGCAGCTCTGCTCTCCTCACATGATGGATGTTTGAGAATCGAAAGCATTTCCACCTTACAAACCTTGTCTGATTTACACAATAGCCTAATATATTCCTAGGACCTGTTTATCAGCAGGCACTGGAACACCGACAATGGATGAAGTGAGATTGTAGAACAGATGGAGGCTAAAAATGTCAAAAATCCAGCATGGAACATTTGGTGCCTGTGTGGCACTTTACTGCGAAAATTATATCAGAGGTTACTACATAGGCTACTAGTAACAGGCTAATGTAGGAGTTAGACACACCAAAACGAGATTCATTCAATCCATTTTTTTCCCCTTTACAGTGGACATGTTGTGTCATGTTATTTATTTAGATGAAGTTATTCATTCAGAAATGATCATGATAGTTCTTTGGGGGCTTCAGAAATGTCTAGTTGGGATAACAAGATTGTAACAAAAAAGTCTAATTAAAAGGCTGAAATTCTTAGAATTAATTTAGGCAATAATAGCTCATCAAATTATTAGCATTAATTCATAACAAACAGTAAAGCAGTTTATTTTAAAACATGAATATCTAGCAACATTTTGTCTGCCAAATTAATGCAAAGGATGGTGTAACTAACATGCAGGAAACCATGTTGTTGTCATGTGGCAATAATATCATAAACCAGGAAATGATATGATATCAATAAGAGCGTTATTATTATTATTATTATTATTATTATTATTACATAAACATATTTATCATATTTAACAGTTGTTATAATATATTTAATTTAAGTTTAATTATATTTAATTTAAGTTGAATATAATATAGTCTATAAAATATTTATAAATACAATACAAATAGAATAGAATAGCATAGAATAAACTAATATTAGAATAGAATAGAATAGAATAGAATAGAACAGAGTAGAGTAGAGTAGAGTCGAGTAGAATATAATAGAATAAACTAATATTAGAATAGAGTAGAGTAGAATAGAATAGACTAGAATAGAATAGAGTAGAATAGCATAGAATAAACTAATATTAGAATAGAGTATAATAGAATAGAGTAGAGTAGAGTAGAGTAGAGTAGAATAGAGTAGAATAGAATAGAATAGAGTAGAGTAGAGTAGAGTAGAATAGAGTAGAATAGAATAGACTAGAATAGAGTAGAGTAGAATAGCACAGAATAGAATAGCATAGAATAAACTAATATTAGAATAGAGTAGAATAGAGTAGAGTAGAGTAGAGTAGAGTAGAGTAGAGTATAGTAGAGTAGAGTAGAGTAGAGTAGAGTAGAGTAGAGTAGAGTAGAGTAGAATAGCATAGAATAAACTAATATTAGAATAGAATAGAGTAGAGTAGAGTAGAGTAGAATAGAGTAGAGTAGAATAGAATAGACTAGAATAGAATAGAGTAGAGTAGAATAGCATAGAATAGAATAGCATAGAATAAACTAATATTAGAATAGAGTAGAATAGAATAGAGTAGAGTAGAGTAGAGTAGAGTAGAAATGTGAAAATTTGAAAATAGGCTATATTATACACTATATTAATAATTCATTATTATTATTATTATTATTATTATTATTATATAAACTTATTTATCATATTTAACAGTTTTTATAATGCATTTAATTTAAGTTTATTAATAAAAATTTATAAATATATTATATATTAATAATTCATTATTGTATATTATATTATACAGTACATACTGTAAGATATTAATTATCAAAATATAAATGGCTTATTCATTAAAACATATAGGCCTAATAAAACTATATGTTCCAAAAAAAAAAAAAAAACTTTGTGCGCGCAGAGGCGTCAGTGGTGTATCTAAGATTTAATATGGATTCAAATTATATGAATGTTTATCTAAATGGCTAAATGTAAAAGTGCTTTTCAGAGACTGCTCTAGTTTCCTCCTCTGAACTCCAGAGACGCGCGTCCTGCATCAGCTGGCCAAACACACACACACACACACACACACACACACACACTTGAGTCGCTCGATCAGCGCGCGGGCAGCGTGCAGGTGTATCGCGCTGTGTCGGCGGTTTCAAACACTGAAGAGAGATACTAAGAGCAAGACTAGAGGAGCGCTTGGAAGCAGCATGTAACAGGCGCAACGGTTTACTGAGAGTGTAGCTGTCTTTATCCACCTAGTTTAGTAGGCACTTGGAGAATGCGTTAAGATCGCAACAACATCACGGATTCGTGAACCTGCAACAGAATACATCCTACACTCAACGCAACAGGATCGATAGTTTTCCCGAAACAGATATGAACACCAACGATGCGAAGGAATATCTCTCCAGAAGAGAGATACCTCAACTGTTTGAGGTGAGCATTTACGTGTGAGAACTTTTGTTTCTGTAAAGAAGATGTTTCCACATCAGCTGCTACAAATGAAGGACAGCATATAGAAGTTAGGCTACTTGCATGGAAATGTTTGATATGTAAAATTGTTTTGTGCATATGGATGTCCGACAACTGGGAATCAGTATCGAAAAGCAATGTTGGTTCGATATACAGTTATGAAAAAAGGTCATCAGATTAAAGTTGATTATTCATAATAAAAAAGGTAATGATTTATTTAAAGGTACGTGCATGCAGGGTAGCTACTGCATGTTGTAAATAATGCAAAGTGAGTTGTTGAATGTTGCATTGGATTAGATTATATGGAAATTATCGAGAGTTATTTATGTGCTTATAGTTGCTAGAATGTGTGTGCGTTTTTACGCGCAAAGCTGAAAATGTCGATCGTGTCTGAAATGCGATTCAACGTCGTTGATTGCCCATCGTTGTTCATTATGTTAGGCGTGCTGTCAGAATCCTACACATGCTTATCAGAGTCAAGTGTGATAAGAAATAACAGGACATAACATGTATTCAATGATTGCTTTCAAGTCAGTTTTACAGTGACCTATTATTATTATTTTACTCTTATAATATAATACCTCTCTTTAAACTGTTAGTGCTTTCCCAGGGGGGCACTTATGAAATTTTCAAGTTAGTTTTACAGTGACCTATTATTATTATTCTACTCTTGTATTGTGAACAATACAATACCTCTCTTTAAACTGTTAGTGCTTTCCCAGGGGGGCACTTATGAAACCCATGGCAAAAATCTCCTACTGCTTGGAGAGTTTGGGTTGGAATATCCTAGGCATATGATGAGGATGATGGTGATGATTTAGATTAGGGTACTTATATGAAATATGTAGGAATGTGTATATTTTAGGAGCTGTCATTTTTCATAGTTTGTTTTTCAGCATTGTAATGATCTTTTGCCTTAGTTCATTTTAAACTGTAACAAATGCATTTTTATAAGTTTAAATGTTCCATGAAGTTGCTAAAGGGGGTCATAAAATTACCATGCATAATAAGTATAAAGGAATGGACAAAATGCTGTTAATACTTTCAAGTCATTTTAAATGGTATCACACTGCAATATATGTGTGTGATATATTTTATATATTTAATAATATAATAATAACATTTACAAATAACAAACATTACTTACGATGCATGTTACCCTGTACTTACAGTGAACAGATAAACACAGTACACCTCTCTGATCTGTCACTGGTTTCCCAGAGTCTGCTGACTGGTCTGATGTACTACCGACCGGATGACCCCATAGACTATCTAGAGACCTGCCTTAAGAAGGTGAGGGAGCTCGGCGGGACTGACACAGTTCGGTGGGACACGTTCGTCGGACAGGAGAAGAAGTCGTTACCACCTCTCAATGGTGGGCAGTCACGCCGATCTTTTTTCCGCAATGGTGAGTAGGAGGTGTTGTCATCAGCCAACGCAACTCCAAATTGTAGGCGATGCTGAAATTCATGCAAACTAGAACTGGCCACAGACTGCTGTGTGGTTGTGTATTGCACAGCAGGCTCATTATTCGTTATTTGGGTGTTGTTAGAGCATGGCAACCATCGGTAGGGGTTTTCCTTTTTTTTGTGCTGGGCAACATTGTTCTACCCACCTCGAGGCAATACAAAAAGGCAAATTAATGCAAAGTACCTGTACAGTAAAACATAGTTAGTTTGTCTTCTAAACAAAACCTATTTTTCCAATGATATACCTTCATGGGATTTCCTGTGAACGTTTTGCCATTTATTGTTGAGGATATCAGAAGCTCTCATGACTAACTATTTCCATTCTTCCATGCAGTTCTCCCGGACAGTCCCAATTTCCCCTATCGGAGATATGAACGCCTCCCACCCATCAACCAGTTTTCCATAGAGAGTGACTCAGACTTGTCTGAGACAGCTGAGCTCATAGATGAATATGAAGTGTTTGACCCATCTAGACCCAGACCCAAAGTCATCCTCATTATAGGTAAGCCCAAAAACTGGGTACATCATCACACTTGCCAGACTAATGGAGAGAAACACCAGCCTTGAATCTGTTTTATGCTTGAATTTGTATGAAAATACACTACCACACTTTTTACCACACAATGGTGGACGCGGAGGACTATAATGCAATAAGAGCTTGTTCAAATACTGAGGTGCTAATTCAGGGCTTTATAAGTAATAAGCAAGATTTTAAAATAGGGTGTTTAAGATGTTTAATAGGGAGCCAGTGCAGTGTTGACAGAACCGG